CCTTCATCAATAATAGATTACATATAATATTAAATCCCATTATGAAATATTGTGAGTTGGTTCAATGGATTACCATTATTAAATTGATTAAACCAACGTAGTCATGTCTTGGCGACACACGGGAGTTCCTAGTACGAGTTGTATTTTGCTATGACCCGTCCCAAAAATTGTTTCGAGCTGAGTGCATGCCCTATATGCTTGGGTCATGCCAAAGGTTTGCATTCAAAACTAACTACTTTTGACCAAATAGCCTGTGACAAATTGGAAACATGTGGGAAAAGAACAGGAAAAATCAAAAACACAACTGGGGGTACGGTCCCAGCGTGGTCCCAGCGTGGAAACTACAATGTTTGCCGTGGAATTTAAATTGTAGTTATTGATAGTTATTGTGTTTTTCGTGGATCATGTCTTTTTATCCTTCGCTTCGGCATTCTTGATGATTGCCTTGGCAAATGTCAACATTGCTCGGAGATGAGTTTGGAAAGAAATGCACCAAGAGGCATAACTGATCACCCCCACAATGGCAATGGCCACGCCGGTGAAGCGCAAGAGCCTGGCTGACCACTTGAGGTAAGCATTGACACCCTATGAGAGACAAACAAGCAAGGGATGACAGCCACTGCCATGGCACTCGCACCTGATTTTCACAAGCGATCAAGCTTCAGCCGACCACAGACCAGCATCTTTAGTTAGCGGCATCGAATTGAGCATCTGCTCAGGGCAAACATCAAGAATGGCATGATCCATTGATGAAATCCTATGATTGATATCAACAGCAAAAGCTGCCAATATCTTTGGGTTCCACGATGTTCGAGGCTTCAAATTTTGGGCATCTACTCGGCCAATTGGAATAGGCCAAGTGTCAATGGCCATGTCAGGAACCTAAATTGGAGGTACCTACCATATATAAGGCCTATATAAGGCCTATGTAAGGGAATGTCCCCATAAAATATGGTCTTATGTGGTACAGTCGTACCTCCATTTTAGGATCCTGAAATTCCAATTGAAAGTGTTTCCTGGGTATGTCATTTTGTTGCTGATATATATATATATACATATATATATATATCCTGATATATCATTATATCATATTATATTTATATCCCATTTTATTCCCCTTACATCCCTCACCACAGGAATCATCAGCCCGGTCTTGCTCAAATCCCTGGATCCCAAGGGAAGAGGTGGCCAGGCTGTGTCAGGGCGCATCAAAGAAGATATAGCCGAAGGCCACGACCATCACAGTCTTCAGCTGACCCACGACCTCGATGGTCATCGGTCCAGGCCATCAAAAGGGGCACAGACTAAAAATGGGGTTCCCACAATGGTGATGACACTAATGGTTTATATATAGCAAGCCCCAGAAAGAAAAAGTAAATCCCTACTGAAATAATGGTAATTCACTTTTCCGTATGACTATAACAAGTAAAATGTCGAATTCAGCAACAGCAAGAAGGATTTTACCAACAAAAAATCGATAATTTTTGAAGAATTCAGAAACAGAAATCATGATTTAGGCAACAGATTTCAAATACCCTCTGGTAAACTAACATAGCTATGGAAACATCCACCATTTTTAATGGGTAAATCAACTATTTCTATGGCCATTTCCAACATCTACGTTAAATTACCAGAGGCTAATTCAAAGAATCCCTTGCGGATTGGTGAATGCGGGAGTCAATTGAAACGATTGTGGATTCAACCGACAACCACAAATTATGGATTTATAATTGTTAATCTATATTATAATGATTATCTATGGTTAAATAATATTATGATTTTATCTATAGTTAATCTATATAAATACAATATGGTTATAATGATTTATATATTTATATAGCCAACTCTCTGGTAATCTAGCCTGGCTTGGAAATGCATGGAAATGCCCGTTGTCTTTAGGGTGCATGATCTGCAAAATCTGCAAAGGGGCGATTTTCCGTTGCCATGTTTGATTCCCCAAGAGTGCATGGTGTGCAAAGTCCTTTGGACACAGAAGGCACATCAGCATGTCGTGTCAAATGTGAGACATAGTTTGAATAATTATACGCCCGATTTTTCTACTATGCTATACCTTCGGCTGTTTTTTCAGCGCCTGGTAGGTGATGGGAGACGTCTTCCCAATCAGTCCATAGACCTGGCAGCCGAACAGCCAGCAGGAAGCTGATGTATGTCTGTCTGTCTGTATGTATGCAATGCATGCATCCATGCATCCATGCATCCATGCATCCACCCATCCACGGATAGGTGGATGCATGGATGCATGGATGAATGTATGAATGTATCTTATGTTATGTTGTGTTGTATTATATTGTATCATATTATGTTATATTATATTATACTATATTATATCATATTATACTACATTATATTATAGTATAGTAGTATAGTATAGTATTAGTATACTATATAATATTATATCAAATTGAATTATGTTATATTATATTATATCATATTATACTGTAAACACTGTATCCAAATGAAAGGCTACAAAATGATCAAATCCATCAACGGAACATATCTAACCAACTCTAACTATGGTAAAATTCTAGGTTCCCATCATTTCCCATCTGTACAAACTCGAATTCATGACTTACATTTGTTGCCCAGCAGCAAATCCAGCGGGAGACAGAATACTCGTGGCCAGATATATGCCAACCCATTTTCACCCAACACTCTCCGCATACACACTACGAACCTTTTCAATATCAAACAAGCATCGTTCAGAGCAATATTCACAGAATATATCATAATGATCATAATCATAATATATAACCACACAAACATACACTATGCATATATATATAATTATATATATATACTGTATACATATATATATATATAATTATGTACTGCATATATATATATATTATAATTATATATGTATATATACTGTATATATATATGCTATATCCCTGTGTATCATGTAGTTGCATTTATATATATATACATACATACATATATATATATATACACCAAATCCATACAGTATCCGTACACCCATGACCGTCAAATACCAAGCATCATCCACAGCGCCCCGCCCTGCATAGTGCGTTTTCAGCTGAGATCTTGGACGGAAATATTGGTGCAGACTGCCAACAGATTGCACAGGACTATCCAGTAGAGATCACCTGGTCGGAGCCAGGATGGGGTGTCGAGAATTTCTTTTACCCTCTGGTTATTTAACATAGCCATGGAAAATCACCATTATTAGTGGGTAAATCCACTATAAATGGCCATTTTCAATAGCTATGTTAAATTACCAGAGGGTACCTGGAGTCGATTACGTAAGATCTGGCAAAAATATGTGTAGATCATGTTTCTTGGGAAAGCACGGATTTTCCACATCTCAAAATTGGTTGGAGCAAGATGTTCATCCATGATGCCCCCCTAGTTAGCTAAGCTACGTTGATTTAAGCTGCAATTACCGGACACCCAATAGTTTCCACTGAAATACATATACTATGGGCCATAGTATATATATATAATATATATATATATAGACTTCTCCATTTTCCCATCGATATCATCGATAGATCTCCACCGGCGATTCCTTTGATCGCACCTTGACCCGAAAGCTTGTGCTCCAGCAGGGTGGAAGGTCTCATCAGGAAAAGCACCTGGGATGATATGGATGTTCATCCGACGTCCCCAAGTTTCTGGCATTGAAAAACTTAAAATTGGGGATGTTTGGGTCACAAATCCTGAGCTTCCGTTGGACTTCACAAGCTTAGAACCCCACTTTCACCTGTGGCAGCCACACCTCAGCGCCGTTCAGAATGCAACTGCCAAGGCCTTTCTGCCAGAAAAAGCTTCAACTTGAAATGGTAAACAAGACATTTACGCCGTATACGCACTAAACACATCTGAATACCAAATCATGCAAGCTGCTCTTCATGATTCAAAATGATCAAAGGGGGATGTATGCAAATGTTGGGAAAGCCACGAAGAATCCAATGGTCTATTGTCTAGCGGTTCCATTAATGTTTATTTTTGGGGGGCGTCCATCATTTTCAGACAAACCTAAATATCATGTCAAATTGGTTATATATCCACATTATATCCCAGAAAAGATTATGGTTGGGTGACAAAGATTCTGGCTATCAAAGTCCAGTGGAATTTACATGACAAATCATCCCACTTTTGCATAGCAAGTATAGGATACAACACTGGTAAAAAGACTTGGATAAGTAGCCTTACTGTCGTCCACCTATAGCTGGCGCTATTTACTAAGTAGGATGAACCACTAAGTAGGAACGGTCCATTAGGGGTGAGGGATCCATTTATACAAGTTTGGTACAGGCCAGACAGAATCAACACATGGATTTGTCTGAACATGATGTATGCCTCAAAAACCATGGTTGATAATTATTTTTCTCATTAAACAGCCAGACTTTGGGGGGTGCACTATTGTCAAAACTCGTAAAAACAGACTAGAACCGACCCACCCTTGAGACCTCCCCCTTGCCTACCCTACCCTTCAGCAATCCAACCTGCCATGGAAAATCCCGCTTGAAAATATCATGTGTTTCATGATGTTCTCTGTAAAATGAGCAAGGATAATTCAAAAAAATGGTGTCCCTGCCATCATCGATTGTCAACAGTTGAGCTAAACTTAAAATTTCTGGATACAGTAGTGAACTTGAACTAATTTTTCTGGATAGTGAATTTGAACTATATACCCTCTGGTAAACTAACAGTTTGCTATGGAAAGATCCACCATTTTTAATGGGAAAATCCACTATTTCTATGGTCATTTTCAATAGCTTTTTGTTAGTTTACCAGAGGGTAAATTTTCTGGATAGTGAACTGTTAGTGATTGGTGATACTTAACTTTTCCGCTCGGAGAATCATGTTTGTTCACCGGTTAAATCGGGAGCCGATGCCATGCGGACGGTTATATCATATAGCGAACCATCCCCAAATTTAGCAGCTGATATACATATAACATAATATAAAATGGATATAAATGGCTGGTATAATCTGCATAAACCATCAAAATATATGGGTGTATGGTGGTTTAGTAGTCTTTTACATCATTTATATTCATTTATCATGATTCTACATTGCTTTACTCATGTTACCGGAAACGGTTTCCGCATTTCCCGAGAAAACCGTTTGGCGACCGAGTTGCATCTGCTAGCAGGGCACAAACCAACCCTGCGCAGGATTGAGGCCAGGCCTGAGCGATGATAGCGATGCGCCAAGGCCGGTGATGTCCGAGACTGAGACGGTTTTCAGACGCAAAATACTTCGAAAACGTTTCAGGAAATCAACGGTGTTCAACCGGTTTTCCGGAAATGATGCGGTTTTTTTTTTGGACATGTCGGACATGAAACCCAAAATAATGTTTGTTGGTGGTCATTTCATGAGGCTAAGCACGACTTGTGCGGCGTTCATTGATCAGTAGGGAAAGCATCGTTCTTTGTTTTGCTGATTCACTACCTAAGGATTACAAAGGCTCGGGGATGTTGACGCTTTATCTTAGGACAGAAATCGACTGCATCGGGGTCCAAAGGCTGTTAAAAAGCACGAACAAATTCATGCGCCGCATCTTCAGTTTCAAGCTGCTATGGCACTTTCATCTAGCTCATCAAATGAGCAGTCATCAAATCATCAAACCATCTATCATTCTTTTATACTGGTCGGTTGATACGGATTCCCACAATGGATATTGATGGATTATGACAATCCCCATTGTATTGGGTAGTAAAATCCCTGTATTCTGTAAGCAGCTATAACCAGTCAACCAGTGTTTTGGTCACTGCTCAAATGCTGCAGGGCGTGTTCAGATAGCCTGAGAATCGAGCCACGGAGTAGGTGATTTGCGTTGGAGTCACACCATGCCTTGGGCTTTGGGTTCTAATTTGGTGGGAAGGGGACCCTACCTGTGCACAGGAAATCAGTTCACGAAAAATCCTGGACAAGTTCTACTGTATAAATTATAAAAAGCTGGATCTGTTTTTCGCCGGAAATTCTGAACCTCTGGGCCGTTGGCTCGTGCTGCTTGGAGCCCTGCCAAATCTGGTATTGCGCCTAGAATAGCACACTTTGATCTGCAGAATGAGCTCATGAAAACTTCAATCAATTAAAGTCTTTCAATTTAAAAATGAGCTGTCCGAAGTCTCAGAACCTTGTTCAAGATCCCCTGCGTAGATCCCTAAACTTCAAAAACTTCTAAATTGTTAAGTAAAGGTCGTAACAGGGTACGAGGCCAATACCCACTGGCCACCCAACCGTGCTGATGATGGACATCAGTGCTAGAATGCTCCCTCGAACCTCAGATTCTGCGTAGCTCGGATGGTTCACTCAACAAGAATAGGTCCGTAGCTGCGTCTGACGAGGGGTGTACTATGGTATACTGTATACTGTATACTATGTACTCATAAAATATCATAAATATATGAATCTTAATTTGGAATGCGATGACAGACCAGCAAAATTCCCTATCTTCAGACAGACCCATTTCACTGCTTCACCAAGAGGTAGGGGCGAGTTTACAACGTCAGGGTGTCAGGTTACTCAACATCAACAGCTTCAACAAAAATCTGTGCATCTTCATCGATTCCCAACAGACTTTCACCACCTGACAGGATTCGTGTAGGTCACCCGTATGTTGCAATCCGATCATCCAACAGAAGTATACAGAAGTATCAACCTCACCGTGCCTCACCTGTCACTCTGTCTATGATTGTTTCTGGGAGATACAGCCCCCCAGCAAACCAGTGCGTTGTAAACCCAATCATAAGTCGTTTGGGACTTGTAAAACTACAGTACTATATGATATATGACTGATTTTAAACTATACAGGCATGATCCACCATTAAACTTGCCACCTACCACGCAAGTGGGTCTTCTGCTGAGTACATCAAGCGAGCTGCCATCCCCCAGCCCAGGTTTGCATCTCCACAAAATAGATCCAAATAGGTTCCATTGATTGCTTCCAGCAACCCACAACAGAATAATCAGAATAGAAAGTACACTCATATTACAAAAAAAAAGGGGGCAAATAACTTGGGGGTTACTCTTAAGTTCCCGTTTTCGTTGCCAGTGCCCATTGCTGTGGCACGCCGGCATTCACTTCGAAATCCGACACCGTGGCCAGAGCGACCTGATACAGTGCGCCGAGTTGCACTCTGCATCTTGCTTCGGGGGAAGGTTGGAATACATGCATCATTGATATGGGGGTTTCCATAAATGGAGGGGGTATCCCAAAATGGGTGGTTTATAATGGAAAATCCCATTAAAATTGATGATTTAGAGGTACCCCCATTTCAGGAAACCTCCATAGTTCATATGTGTAAATATGTAGAGGAGCACATGTATTCAAAATTATGCAGTTATCTATGTCATGAATAAAAAAAAGTGTAACATTTAGGATGATTTCTGGCACATAACGTATGTATATCGTAAAACTCCAGTAGACAGTAGTATCTAATATGTAAAATTTAACATATGCACATACCGCAAATCAATAGGGAAATGCCATTGTCTCAGCTGTCTGAAGCACAACGCCATGATCTCTGGGTCCAAACTGTGTTGCATATCCCAAACTTGTTGCTTGAAAGAAAAAGTGAGAATATGACAAGGAAAAACATGTCGAATGGTTTTGAAAACATGCCGCACCAGGATGGATTTGAAATTTGGATGGATTTGGATCCGCACTTTTCTAGACTTTTCTGGCTACGTTTGGTCTGAAATCTGTCACGCCAGCCAGGGACTTCACCCCAACACCGGTCACGACGATGCTGAGGATCACCTTCGCGAGATTTTTGGGCCGCGCCGGGAGGCTTGGTAGGAAAGTGTTCTGAATGCCGCAAGTGTTGGACATTGAATTCATATTGAATTCATCATAATTCATCACAGCATGAATGAATCATGCAGGAACGAACGAAGGAAGGAATGAACGAGCAAACGAGCGACTGACTGGAACAAGCTGCCTGTTCTCTGAGCCGATCGTTTTGGCAGCTGAATCATGCTGAATCATCTAGACAGGGTACCGGTACGTTTCCAGCATGCCATGCGGTTGACATCCCCATGATTTTGCCACAACTTGACCAGTGATATTACCTATGGCACTCTCCCATGTTTCATGCATCTTTATTGCAACTCCAGCCCCCAAACAGATGGAACAAAACTTAGAATCTATCATTTTTTTGGAATTGGAATAATACTTCCGGCTTTATTAAAATAACAATTATCACTGAAATTCAGGATTCTATTTCCTACTTCAAACATCTTCAAACCATTTATGGATCTTTTTGGAAGGTCCAGCATGGTCCAGCCGTTAGACGCTGCATCCCATGTCGGATTCCCCGGGAGCTCAGCGGACGCAAAACCTTCTGGCTATAGACTGCACGTCGCCCCTGCAAGCGCTCTAAACCTCAGACCGTGAAAACATGCTGTGAAGAAAATTCTGTTTACAGGATGTTACAGGTATTAAACACCATATAAACACCGTGGCAAAATGGTTTCTATGGTTTTTAATGGTGTTTTGAGGCTTTCTGCGAGTCGAATGGGTTTTTCATGGGTTTCATCGTGTAGAAAATATGGGGATGCATGGGATATATGGGTCATTGTAATGGGGAAAACATCTATCAATAAACCAGAGTACTTCATGGGGATACAATGGGATATCATGGGATATAGCTCGCCAACTTGATATGATATCTTGGTGTCTTCCTGACACTCGTTGATATCCCCAGTTCCGGCCAGTTCGGGAAAATGAGGCCTTCAGCCGAGTATCCTGGTGCTGATTGGCCTAAGCCTATGTCCCATGATATTTAGATTTGGGAGCAGGACCATCACTGAACGGACCTCAAATTGTCAGGTCCCCCAAAGAATGAAAAAAAACAGACACCCAAGTTATGTTGGTATATGTTACCCCATCCAACTACAGTTGTTTCAGCGCCATAAACCCAGCATAATCAACAGGAAAGTTCGTACCTCATCGAATGATCGGCTACTGCCATCTATCGTATTTTCAGGGCAGGCAGTCTCCACCACCTCAGCCACCATCATTTTCTTGGCCAAGCTGCCAATGACAGTTGGGATGATCAGCAGCCTGGCCAGGATCAGCTCCCATTTGGTGTTGAAACAGTGGAACAAAAACACCATTTTCTCGTGGAAGTCCATCGAGCTCGGGAGCTCTGAGGGAGCAATCCCTTTGCAAATGAGCTGCTTGGTGATCTGGTAAAAGCCCACGCTATTGGCCTGCGACCGAAAAACACGGGGAGTTGGCCGAGCTTATGCGGCAAGTTGGAATCACATCCTGCCAATGGAAACAGGGAAACCATATTCTTTTACCCGCAAGTAGAATAGGTTCCTGGATATTTCCACATCATCCAATTTTGGGAATATCTCAATAGCGCTGTAAATAAATATAGACATATACAATATGTATATATATATATACATGTAATACGTATAAATATATATATATATAATATATATATATTATTATCTATCTATATAATTCTATATATATGTACGTATGTGCACTATATAAATGGAACCTCGAAATGAGAAGATCCACTTTGGCATCATGTCGAGCCGTCGTTGGGTGCAACGCTCATTTTTGAGGCTAGCCGAAAGCATCCGGATGTAGTTGGCCAATTCCAGATATGAAACAACCTGGGCATGTGGCTCTCAAGGCTCTCAAACTATTTACCCACTTTACCCCGCAACCAAAGGACCGTTCCATTTCTCCAAAAGGACCTACATCCTCGGCATCTCACTCTTTTTTCCAGAGACTTGATGGCACCTGGTCCCAAGTCTGCGCCGCCGAGTTTTCAGCTGGCTGGACCATGAATTGCGGGGCCATCACGGTGTGCCACCATGGGGTTGTCCGAAAAGAGGGTACCACAAATCCAGTGGTTCAAGTGGTTCAAGACCTGATGTTCCCTCAATCAAATGTCTCAAATTTGGGAAGCCCAAAAAATCCTGGTCTCAAACCCGATTTTCCAACATGAAAATGCCATATTGAAGGTAAAATCATGTAAAATCCCCATTTCAAGACAATCCCTGTGGGGCGCTAAGTGAATCTGCCAAGCTCGCTGAGCAGCATATCTTTGGTCAGGAAGGTGATGGACACCGAGGGCACGCTCTTCATTAAGGTTACCGTCCATCCGCGATAGAAGGGCAAAATCCCTCCCTGCGACCAGAGGTATCCTTGGAATCTTGCGACCGAAATGAAGGGTTTACAAAAATAGAATCAACAACTCTTACTAAAGTGGTTTTCCCCTTAGAAAGCAGGAGATCTAAGAATCATTTAAGAAATGCTTCCATTCCATTGAAATATATTGAAATCCCATGAAAAGTATATGAAAGTCCTAATCCTTTCATGGTGAACTCTCCAATTTTCCCAGTTTTGGCAAAAAAGCTATTAAAAAAGCCATAAAAATCATCCAGGGATCGGCAGCACTGCCAAATACTGCCATTGTATCTGGAATCAAAGCCCAGTGCCCCATCCAGCATGAGCTGCCGTCGCACCGTGTCCAGGGGATAGCAAAAAGTGGTGGCGGCCACCCCACTGCAGAGGCCTAGCCGAAAACAGCAACAAGTCGGACTGGAGAAAGAGAAGGAACCTACGAAAGTATAAACATGATTATCCCATAGGATCCATGTATGATATATATGGTGACATTTACCATCAACATACCCCAAATGTTAGCATATATACCATACATGGATCCTATGGGTATGTAAACAGTCTATTAAACATGTATAAACTATTTAAATCTATCTAATTTCATGTAAATCTAAGCCCCAATGGTTACCGTAGCCCTGAGAATAGGGGCTTATTTAAGCCCCATTCATACGGCTTGATGCTGGCTCATAACGCCCCAAAAAATGTAAAAAAAAAAAACGTATTAGGGGGGCGCGGACCTTTTGGGGGGGACCCTTAGATTGCCATGATAACTATATTATAGCTAGCCGATCGTATCCAACCAACCGAGTATATCATTGGACCCTAAAATCATCCAAACTGGTCAGCTTTTGATGGGGGAAAGCACCTGTTTGAGGTACCAATATGTTGCAAAACCACAAGCTATAAAATGGTGGTTCATGTTTTCCATGAATCAATTCTAGGCTTCCAACGTTTCGATTTTGGGGTTGATATACCTGAATCAAGGGGGGCTGACTGAAAGATTACTGGATCAATAGGGATAGAACCTGAAGTAACTGACAAGGGATATACAGCTAACCTCAAAAGTCGAAACGCTGGATACCTGTTAAAACTAAGATGGCAGCTGAAAAAATGGGCTTGGAAGTCTATCTTCCTATCCCAGGTCTTTCAGCAAAGTTGACGGGGACATAGGAAGAATGACAGGGCCAAGTGGTGAGACATGGTGAGACACCATCCCCACAATCGCATCTGCTGATTCCGTATGCGCGACATCAGAAAAGTGGACAAAATTCATCGAAATTGCAATCAGCATAATCAGCATATGCATGGTATTGGCATACAGAGAATCTAGCAAATTCTAGCATCTACTATTCAAGTTACTATTCATCCATCAATCACAATGAACGAATAGAAATTCTTCTCATTGCTCCTGTCACCATTCAAAACGAGGCCTGCGAAGACACGGCGGCACCAAATGCTGGAGCTCTGCGTGGTGGTGCCAGGAAGCAGGCGCTGCTTCAGGCCTGGAGAGGTTACGGGAAAACCCGCGGTGTTTGCACCTTTTTTAACATATGGCTATTGGTCAAAACCCTGGCACCTAGTGAACCCCAAAATAGCTGGTAAATGGATGTTCATCCCATTAGAATTGATAATAATAGGTTTTGACCCACCCCCATATAGGAGGTTCCGGAGAAAGTAATTCCCGAATCAACTAATTCTGGATAATTCTGATACTGTTGAAGCTGAAGGATCTGACATTGAAATAGCAAGGCATCACTCTTCCTGGGGGAGTTGAATTGAAATGGCAAGTGATGGCTGTCACGTTTTCATGTGTGACCTCCCCAAATATCACGATTCCGGGATGAATGCGTTTTGCCAAACATTCTCCGATCACCCACTTCTCTACCGTTGGTAAACCCAACCACAATTTGATTTCTATGTCTTGGCCACCCACCATCTCCAGCCCTGTTTTTTTGCTCAGTCGCTCTGCACAAGTTACCATGAGTCACAAAGCCTGAAATTACCATCTGGTAATTCAACAATAATCAACATAGATGTGGAAAATCACCACTTTTGATACGTATATAAATCATCTTCAAATTGGCAATTGTCGCTATGTTAATTCACCAGAGAGGCAACCCAATTTTGTGGGGTCCGCCATCCATCCACTGGTAATTGTCATCATGTTCCCTCATAGGATTACCATAAATTGGGTTTAAGCGATCCATTTTCAGGCACACCCATAGGAGTTATATCCCACTGTTTGTCGATTAAACCCCCATCTTCATTTCTCAATCCCTGTTTGTGATGCTTGAAACACCATCTTCATTGGTCAATTCCCAGTGTTTTCAAAACCTCAGCCCCATCTCCCAACCTTCGTAGCTGGTGAAGGCGATGGCGGTGTAGGGCGCGATTTCCAGCATACTGGCGAGGCACCCCACATAGAGCCCAGCCACGCCACCACGGTGCCAGGTCTGCCGCACGCAGTCCTGCAGACGAAGCAGGCGAAGGCGACCGCAGGGAGATGGGAGATCCCAAGTTCTTTTGGGTCTTTTGAACTGGGAGAAAGTGGAGAAAGACTATAGAAAATGATCCCACATAATATTGTTTGTCTGAGGTTGTTCTTAGCTCAAAGTTTTTCCGATATCTTGAAATAAATGGTGTTCATACACATCTACAGTAATCCCAAAATAAGGCTCAAAAACTCAATGGCTACAAGCCATCTAGTGTTAGGTCATTAGACTCAATTTCCACAAGGTGGTGTTATAGATCAACTCATTACTAGTTTCAGCACCTTGTAGGTGATTTATGTTTATTCCACATCTATCTGTATTTGCTGTGTTTGGTTTGGTGATAAGCAACAGTTTTGCTGGCCAATCATCTGCAATTCGTGTGGATGATGTCAGCGTTGTTGCTCGTTTACCCCCAAGATTGTTGTTTGCGTCTCCATTTGGGTGGCCAAGCTATCATTTCTTGATATGAAGTCAAACCTGCATTTTGGCTGGCTATGGCTGGCTATGGCTGGCTATGGCTGGCTATATCCCCAACGTTTTTTGTAGCATCTGCATGTTTGTTGGCAAGCATACTATATTCAATTGGTACTCCCCGTGTTGGTCTGTTTTGTCCTGGTTGGTGACATGTGATATCCATATGTTTTCTGGCTCGCTTCGTGTGTGCACAGTAGCGCTTTGCTGCTTCGGTCAGATGATATTTTGGAGATGTTCCCTTCACATGCCGGATTGCTGATCATGTCTTGGCAACAAAAGATCCACATTTTTGGGGGTTTCTGCTGACATCCTCAATGTTATTTCATCTGTTCCTGGCAGTCCACATGCTGTTTCATTGGAAAATAGTGGACATCCTGCAAACCAAGGCACCATGAAGCCCCGATAGGACAGCTCATCTGCGAAGATCCGGGCAGCAGCCAAACGTGTGCGCACGGTATCCTTCGACTTGTCAATGGGCTCAAATTGGGATTTCATGGGATTTTGAGGCAAGTCCGGGAAACTGTCAACTTACTAGCAGAGGGTTTAAGCCGCCTCAGTTGGGCAGTCACATCAACCCCATGGCACAGCAAGCTGGAAGAAAGTCACATCAAAATATCAAAATCATGGCACACCGGCTTTCAGGGAAGGGTTCGATATGCCAAAAAATGGAGAAAACATTGCGCACATTGAGGTGTTAGCATACTTGCAATGTATGTTTTTATAGGACATATTAAGGACTTTCATGTTATTTCGGAAGAAACAAACTCCCCATGTGTTAGGGACCCATAATCATGTCAACAATTCTTAATCACAAATTAGTGGCACACCGTTGTCTACATCCCCTTTAGATTGAATGTTAGCCAATGTTTAAAACATTTTAAAACTATTGCTATTTTTCTCCTCTTTTTCTCTCTGTAGCTTTTCGTTTCAGAAGGCGAAAGGTGCGCCTGTTGTAAAAACCAGTGGCATCCCTGTCAGGAACTCCATAGGCACCACGGGTCTGTGGTGCCTCTAGGTGTGCTCCTGGTGGAACTCACCCCTGACTGAGTGCCAAACATGGCGACCGAGACTCCCGTTTTCTACAAGATGAGCAGTACACCAAGAAAATCCAAGAAACTTTTCTACAGACTCGGTAGTCCCACCAACTTTGGCCCTCGCTCTTTTCCCAGCAGAACCCGGCAGCGGAACCCCGCAGCAGCGGAACCCAGCAGCAGCGGAACCCAGCAGCCTCCGACCAAATTTCCCATTTGGTGACTCCATGGCTCTTCATGTCCCACACACCTGAACTCCAGCAACGCCAATCTCTGATTGTGACTCGCAAAAGGAGTTGCCAGTGGACTCAGAAAAAATCTGGCAGACCAACAGAGGTTGGTAACTGTCCCATTTTGGGTATATTGGACATCAGCTTATAGTAGCCATCATAGACCATATACCTAATGGTTGGGTGATGTTCAATGGGGACATTTAATGACCCATGACCAAACCCAAAAAACTTGGCATCCCATCCACCCATATCACCGTCCAGCGGATGGGTCAGCAGTAAAGCTCCAACCCCGGCCAAACCGCCAGAGATGAAATGCCTGCAACGTGGCAGTGGTGCAGATAGAATCCACAAACAATCAGAGTGGTTACCAGATACACAACCCATGATGCATATACAAGATATAACTTGATATAACTATATAGATAAGATACAACTAACTAGATATATATATATATAATAACTATATATATAATGTATATATCATAACATATATATATACACACATCATATAAGCCATATAAGGCATCATCTACGTATAGCTTACACATATCGTGGTACTTCTGCTTCTTCAGCTCAGCTTTGTTGCAGCGGTGGCCATCCGGAATCTGGCCAAATACACCACTTGATGATGGCCGAAGATATGGAATCGGTAAGTCATGGAATCCATGAAGATACCATTATCGATATGTCCAAACATGGAATTAATTTCACTATGATCATGGGGTTAGAATGAGAGATAAAGATAAACGCATGTGAATGGGATTCATAAGCAACAATGTATGATATTTTGGGTGCTGAACATGAAAAAAAACAGGACCTACCCCAATAGATAACGAACATTAAAGATCTAAAATTGTTTTCCAGCTGGCCACCCATCAACAAACCTGGTAACCAACATCTTTCCGACCGCCTGGTGTCGTTCTGCGCGACAACTAATCTGCTGTCGAAATAAGTGAAGAGCCAGAACCTGAGGCCAGGTCTCAACGGCAGAACTCGTCCATCTAACAGGAAATTGTAAAAAGGCCCCTCAAACATACTGTGAAATCATCTGAAACATCTCCACCGTTTAAGTGTGTTATACAGGAATTACTATATGATTATCTATGTATGGTTCATACAATGTGAGATATATGTAACTTGATTTTATTGTAATGACTTTTCTTTGTTCATTCTTAGTTTATGATATGGGAATGCAGCCACATGTCATGTCCACCCAAGGCCCTAAGGCACCTGGCGCCGTAGGTTGGGACAACCCTCATGACGTTGGAGAAGTTGCCGCGCCAGAGCCCTGCAAAGCCCATTGGCTCCTGCAACAGCCTCAGATCGGTTACCACAGGGCCTAAACGGCCCTGAAACAGCCATAAAAATGTGGCGTAATGGGGACCTAATGAGGATACGATCTACAAGATCGGAATAGGTTGAACCTGCCATGCCCCATGTCTGTATATACGTAACTGTGTATGTATATATGAACAGATATATATATATATAAAAACAGGTGTGTATATATATAATTATATATGTGTGTGTGTGCACAAATATATATATATATATATGTATATACACATGTGTATATATATATATATGTATCATTATATACATGATAATAAATACATAGATGACATATGTATATATATATACATATATGTATATTATATCATATGTGAAAACCAACTGGGATCGAATCAACCCACGTACAACTAGAGTAGAACTGAGGTAATCAATAACCAGCAAGATTGCGTAGCCTTTCACTAACTTGACAGGGGGAGGTACGAAAGCTAGCAGGGCTGGGGTAGGGTGGTAATCGTAAAGGGGGATTAGCAAGGTGAAGTCGGAATGCGGCAACGGGCTGCTGTAGGGTTGCAAAATCTATTGAGTCCAGCAAGCGAAAACCCCCCAATGCAGTAATCGTCTCTCGCCAAGCGTTTGTAAGCAAAAGAAACGCAATATCAAAAAAAAAAAACGCCCCCCAAATGGAAGCCCGAATCTGCATAAAGATGTTCGAGACAAAGCAACATATGTATGATGATGATAGGGGTGATGATGAGGATGATGCTGTTGTTGATGATGGTGATGATGATGGTGATGATGATGATGATGTGGATGTTGCGAATGCTGGGGATTATGATGAGGATGATGAGGATGAGGATGATGAGGATGATGAGGAGGAGGACGATGATGAGGAGGATGAGGATGAGGATTAGGATGAGGATGGGGATGGGGATGGAGGATGAGGATGAGGATGAAGATTTTATTGATGACGATGACGATGGTGATGATGATGATGATGATGGTGATGATGATGATGATGATGGTGGTGGTGATGATGATGATGACGATGATGATGATGATGATGATGACGACGAAAAAGGAGGAGGGAGGTAATTATGATTGGAAGCCGGCAAGTTTCCGATGATGATTTTATAGAGTTGTTGGCTGGTTTACTGAACATGACCTGAAGATGAAATACTGAAGAGGACGACCCTATACCTGCAGGAAACCAATGGCCCAGCGGGACCCGGGGATGAGGATGCTGATCAAAGACGAGGAGGACGAAGAGGATGATGAGGATGAGGATGAGGAGGAGGAGGAGGATGATGATGATGAGGAGGATGAGGATGATGATGACGAGATGACGATGATGAAGATGAAGATGAAGATGAAGACGAAGATGATGATGATGATGATGATGATGATGATGATGAGGATGAGGATGAGGATGAGGATGAGGATGATGATGATGATGATGGTGATGATGATGAGGATGAGGATGAGGATGATGATGATGATGATGATGAGGATGAGGATGAGGATGAGGATGAGGATGATGATGATGATGATGATGACGATGATGATGATGATGATGAGGATGAGGATGAGGATGAGAATGAGGATGAGGATGAGGATGAGGATGAGGATGAGGATGAGGAGGGTGAGGATGAAGATGAAAATGAGGATGATGACCCTCCACGAGCCGGCCATCTCCTCTCGGGGGGGCTCGGGGGGGACCAGTGGGGGATCGAACCTGGGCCTGCCAGGGGGGGGTCTAACTGGAAAGTTTCAGGGTGTCCATAGTCCTGCTCCCTGCCTATTCCTTGCTAAAGCAAGAGCAACTTCAGCTAGCACAGCTAGCTTTCGTGATTAATGTAATTATTGAAAATGGAGAGTAAGTGTGGATGGCGCTTTGACCCAAATCTTGATGCTGAAACAAGCAAACATGAGGATTTGGGCAAGAAGTGGAACACAAGCAACATAAAATTGCATGTTGACCTGCATAAAGCATCCGAAAATTGCCCCACTGGTCTGTGCTCAAGGATTAACTGAAAATCCAACTCAACTGATTCACGGCATTTAGAGTCTTTCAGACTTGGGCGGGGTCAACATGGATGGCTAAAGAAAACTGATCAGGTCATCATCTGCAAACAAGTTGCATGGTCATTCCGTGTAACAGGTTTCGGACTGGCACTTCTTTGGCATGTCCCACGGATAAGTGCTGGTTTTGCAGCCTGGGTGGACGGTGGACGGTTGTCCTGCAACCTTCATTAGTCTAGTGGCTGCCGCAGGGAGCTTACAAATGCCCAGTCTTGAATCCAAGTTTACTTGCTCAGTAAGGGTCAAGAAACAAGGTCCAAGAACCACACATGTTGCTCATGTGTAGTAGCAAACCAACGATTTCAAGGTTCGTTCTACCATCATATCATATCATATCCTGTTTCATGCCTGTCTTTATTGCTGATTTCCTCATTCTATTTGAGTCATGGCTCCCTGATTTTATTCAAGGTATCCGAGTTTGACCAACCTCCCAGTAGCTATTATCTCCAGAAACAATGGTTTACCTCACCAATTTGGGTTTGCATGAAGATAGGCTACGCCAAAACCGGATACCATGGTTGATCATCATTTTCCTCATCAAAAGAGCCATCTTGCTCCATACACTGTACTGTTCTTGCTTGTATCCACATATCCCCAGCATGGTTCGTGAACATCCCCAACATCATATCCCAGCAGCACTTCCTTCAAAATCTCATGATATAAATGTAAATCCCATGAAATCTCCACATGACTTTCCCATGGTGATCTGATCCTTTTTTTGGGTTCGTTGGTCCAAAGGACACCAGCTTCACTCTTTCCATCGGCGCCGTGGCCGTCTTGGCCACTGCACCGGCGCAGGCGCCAGCCACGGCATCTTGCCAGCTAACACCCATGGCCGACGCCCATGGCGCCGCGGCCCAAAAATCGTTGATTTTTGATGGGAAAAATGTGTGATGTTTGATGAGATAATTGTATTATGAGTCATAAATATCATTGAACATACGGGAAAAAAAATCATAATTGAAGCTGCTAGCTGCTAGCTACATATATGGTATTGAGTGCTATAATGAGATATTTATATCTTATATATATATAATTAATACTACTGTATATAATCAATTTCATATGGGAATGGGGGATGGATACTGCATTAAAAATGGTCATGATGCTTTGATGTGGAAAATGATGCTTTAAGCCATGGGATGGTTCTCTATGAGCCTCAGCAAGCTGGCGCGCGATTCTATTCCGAGAGTCCCTGCAGCAAGTCTATGGAAGTATCCATGAACCCAGAAAAACAACAACAACAACAACAACAACAACAGACAACGACAACGACAACGACAACAACAACAACAACAAGAAGAAGAACAAGGTACAAACAAGGTACAAACAAGGTACAAACAAGGTACAAACAAGGTACAAACAAGGTACAAACAAGGTACAAACAAGGTACAAACAAGGTACTGACAAACACTGGGACCCCGTTCTCACTATATATATCTCTTTTTGTCTCTACCCTTAAGGGTACAAACAAACACTGGGACCCCGTCGGCCGAGATCCTCCAAAAAGGGGCACCGCAACCTGACCTCAAAGTAGCTTCCATTTCGACTTTTTCACTGGCCTCACGGGACACAGAGGCTGTATCTGTGTCAGCTCTCTCTGTTCTTGGCTGTTTGCTTGTGGCCGTTGCTTTCTGTGTGTGAGATCCTGTCTGGATATACCAACTTTCTTCCAGAATTTGGGGGGCATTCCCTGTATGCCAGGGATGTCTAGCTCAGCTGGCAGAGCGTAAGGCCCTTAACTTGAAGATTGAAGGTTCGAGCCCGCCTTGGTCCACAGGGGCTTTTCCGCCAGTGAGGCTCTTGCGCACATCTTGTGGCTGCTTGCCTTGTCTCTCTCTTGCTCAGAGAAGTACTTCTTGTTCTCTCTTGCTCCTTCTCCTTCAGAGGCTATACCTATGGCCCGCTCACCCGAGGTCTCTCTTCCTGAATCTGGCGATGGTTCGCAAAACTAGCTCCAAATGGCCAAGCACAGACATAGCACACATCGGATACAAGCTGCACATGGCCACATGGAGAATAACACCGAATCAGTATAGTAAATTATAGACCGAAGGGACAGTTGGGATTCTACACTTTGCCCTACCCAATGTATGGCGCCAGTGGCCTCGACGCTGTCGGGCACAGATGGTGCTTCCGGCTCAATGTCACGCTGAAATCCGTTCAATGCCACTTCTGCTTCCTGCCATCATGTCTCTTGCTGCATTGCACGCAGCCTGCTGTTACATACAGATCATTTGGCATTGCAAGCTGGACATGAACAGAAAAAGTGCATCATAATCCAACACCATGAAAACACTACGTGCCTTCTGGAGCACAATACTGACATTGCACGGAAGAATCCGATTAAGGACACTTCTCCCTGCCAAGCTATAACGCACCAGCGGCCTGGACCGGTTCTGCTGCAACTTCTGCAGGCAACACGCTATCGGCCACAACTGCTGCAACGTCTCTAGGGATACCGGCGGCACCTTGGCCTGCAATGACACAATGGAACAGAAAATGATTAAAATCAACCAGATGTTTGGTATACGTTGCTCGGATAAAGTACACTATGGGAGAAACTTGCTGATGGAAAACTCTGTCTTCGCGGCATGTCTTATTTTAAGGCACAAACCAATGCAGCAATACAGTTTCCAATAACCTTATGGTCGTATAGATTCCCGCCTTGCTCCGGTCTCGCGCGCCTCGGTTTCTCTTCCTGAATCGGGGTATCCAATACTTTCTCAATTGTCAAAGTTGCAAAAGCAATGTCTGAATGGAATCTGTACCACGCTGCACACAAGAGCACGGCCTGAAAGACTCCGAGGACTCCATTGCAAATGGAGCACCTGTTGTACCGTGACACCTCTGAGACCGAAATCCTTTTCACACATGTTCGCAACAGAGGTATTCCTGCGGGACGAACGAGATGTGAAAATGAGGGCAC